GTCCACAGATCTGAGAAGCCGGTTTGATTACCTCTATTTTACAGATTAGGAAAGAGGCTCAGGTAGGGGCAGGTGCTACTTCTCCATGAAGCAGGCCAAGCCTGTGAGCAACTTTTGTAATAAAATCTAGGACAAGGAACTCTACTTGCTTTTGGATAATAAGGCCAGATTAGATTGAATAAGATCAAAGTCACATTATTAGGAGGATATGTTTTTCTTGATACCAGAGTTGGTCCCCGTCAGGAAATTAATCTTCAGGGTGGTGAACTATGTTGGGTATTAGGCACATTAGGCCCAAACCAACAATATCTCACGTTTGGGCTCCTACTCACTTCCATCAAACGGCCCAGAACTCTGGCAGGGGTCAGCAAAACCAAAACTAACAAGAAATCTTTTAACACTCTGAGTGCTGGTAAAGGGAAAATGTGCAAGACTGAACAATGAATTGGAGGGCTGGCTGGGTCTTCATTGTTCTGTGGACCCGAGGTAGGTTTTGAGGAAAATTAGGGATGGGCCTTGGAAAGGCTTGGAGAGGATCTCAGCAGGAAGAAAAGGAGGAAGAGGAAGAGGATCTTTTCAGAAAACTGGGCAACCGTTGAGGATACCCTAATGAAAACTTATACAATGAGGAGGTGCCCCTCCAGCAGTACGAGGGTGCAAGTTACCCAAACCAAGGAAGAAACCTCAATATCTTTGTTCCTCCATATGGCTTTGGGTTTTTTTGTTTGTTTGTTTGTTTTAAAGATTTTATTTATTTGACAGAGAGAGAGAGAGATAGCGAGAGCAGGAACACAAGCAGGGGGAGCGGGAGAGGGAGAAGCAGGCCTCCCGCTGAGCGGGGAGCCCTACGTGGGGCTCGATCCCAGGACCCTGGGATCATGACCTGAGCTGAAGGCAGACGCTTAACCGACTGAGCCACCCAGGCGCCCCTGTTTTGTTTTGTTTTTGTTTTTCTCTAGCCCTCTGGTGACGAGCTCCCAGGTCCAGGAATGGCTGCCGCAGTGGTGGGGATAATCCCACTCCTTGACCAGTGGACAGGCATTGGCCTATGTCTCTACGGTGGACGACAGGGCAGCGGGGGCACCAACTGGCAAAACCCCAGGCAGGAGAAACTTGTAAGGCTGAGTCTCCTTCCTTTCTTCCTTTCAGAGGGCAACCAGAAACATTAGAGGACAAAAAGGGGATGTATGTGTGTGGAGGTGGGGGGTGGGGCGGTGGGTGCGGGTGGTGGCTAGCAATCGCTTGACTCGGGAGTTACTTTTGCTGTTGAGGCCCAGGGATTTGGACTGAGGCAATTCCAAAGCCCTCCACTTTTCATGGAGGGTGACTAACATTTCATTTTGTGTATGTGCAGGTGCTACTGATGAGGCAGGAAAAAAAAAATGTGGTGTTGTACTAGAGTGGCCTGAGACTTGTTGCCAATATTTCTTAAATCTTGGTGGCCAAAACCTGGGATAAGTTGCTATTCTAAAGCAGCTTGCAGTTTTCTCATTTAATGTTTTGAACAAAGACTGCTGTCTTGGTTTGGAAAATCCCTTCCCAATCAATACTTGAGGGTTCTTCTTGGTTTGGTGAAGGCAATGACCAATTCTTATAGTGGAATGGACAGTTGGGACACAGCCAAAGTGCTCTGCATAATAATGCCAGTGGTAGACTTTTTTAAAGTTAATTGAGGGGGTGCTCGCTTCGGCAGCACATATACTAAAGTTAATTGAGGGGGGAGGTGCCTGGGTGGCTTAAGCAGTTAAACGTCTGCTTCAGGCTCAGGTCATGATCCTAGGTCCTGGGATCAAGCCTCACATCAGGGCTCCCTGCTCAGTGGGGAGCCTACTTCT